CAGAGAGGCTAAACCCTAGAAGCTAGCCTATGGTATGATTGTTGTTCGTCCTACGGACTAAAACCCTCCGGTTTATATAGGCACCGAAGAGGGTTAGGGTTACACAGAGTCAGTTACAATGGTAGGAGATCTACATATCCTTATTGCCAAGCTTGCCTTCCACGCCAAGGAAAGTCCCATCCGGACACGAGACGAAGTCTTCAATCTTGTATCTTCATAGTCCAGGAGTCCGGCCAAAGGTGATAGTTCGGCTATCCGGGCACCCCCTAATCCAGGACTCCCTCAATCATACTTAGCAAGCATTTTACAGAAAGCACCATGAATAGAGTGTGAACCACCAGCAATCATTAAATATCTAGGGACTCCAAACCTTGGGAAAATAACTTCTTTAAGAATTTTAATAGAGGTGTTGTGATCAGCACTGCTGGTTGGAATAGCTTCTACCCACTTAGTGACATAATCAACAACAATCAAAAAATGTGTATACCCATTATAGGAAGGAAAAGGTCTCATGAAATCAAATCCACACATCAAATGGTTCAATATCAAGTGAATACTTCATAGGCATTTCTTGACGCTTACCGATTTTACATATTCTTTGACATTCATCACAAGATGAGACAAACTTACGGGCATCCTTGAAGAGAGTGGGGCAATAAAAACCAGATTGCAATACCTTATGAGCGGCTCTGTCTCCCGCGTGATGTCCTCCATAAGCCTCGGAGTGACATTTCAGTAGGATTTGTCCTGTTCATGCTCAGGTATACAACGTCTAATAATACCATCTACTCCTTCTTTATAAAGATGTGGGTCATCCCAAAAGTAATGTCTTAAATCATAGAAGAATTTTTTCTTTTGTTGGTATGTGAAGCTAGGTGGTATGTATTTAGCAACAATATAATTAGCATAGTCAGCGTACCAAGGTGTACTATTAGAAACATTTATTGCAGCTAATTGTTCATCAGGAAAGCTATCATTAATTGGTTGTCGGTCATCAAGAATATTTTCAAGCCTAGACAAGTTATCAGCTACGGGGTTCTCTACTCCTTTCCTATCAGTGATATGCAAATCAAATTCTTGTAGCAGAAGAATCCACCTAATGAGTCTAGGTTTAGCATCTTTATTTTCCATAAGATATTTTATAGCAGCATGATCAGTATGAACAATCACTTTAGAATCAACAATGTAAGATCTGAATTTATCACAAGCAAACACCACTGTTAAGAATTCTTTTTCAGTAGTAGCATAATTTCATTGAGCACTGTCTAGAGTTTTACTAGCATAATGGATAACATTTAATTTCTTATCAACTCTTTGTCCTAGAACAGCACCAACAACATAATCATTAGCATCACACATAATCTTAAAAGGCAAGTTCCAATCAGGTGGTGTAACAACAGGTGCAGTAATTAAGGCTTTCTTTAGTGTTTCAAAGGCTTCCAAGCAATCATCATCAAACACAAAGGGAATATCCTTTTGCAAAAGATTTGTAAGAGGCCTAGAAATTTTAGAAAAGTCTTTGATAAACCTCCTACAGAAACCAACATGACCAAGGAAACTACGAATACCTTTGATATCTTTAGGACATGGCATTTTATCAATTGCATCAACCTTAGCTTTGTCCACCTCAATGCCTCTTTCAGAAATTTTATGTCCCAAGACAATGCCTTCGTTAACCATAAAGTGGCACTTCTCCCAATTTAAGACAAGATTTGTTTGTTCACATCTATGCAAAACTCGATCAACATTGCTTAAACAATCATCAAAAGACTTCCCATATACATAAAAGTCATCCATGAAAACCTCGACAATCTTTTCATAAAAATCAGAGAATATAGCAGTCATACATCTTTGAAAGGTAGCAGGTGCATTACATAAACCAAAAGGCATACATCTATAAGCATAAGTTCCAAAAGGACAAGTAAAAGTGGTCTTTTTTCTTGATCAGGTTGTGAAACAGGTATTTGTGAAAAACCATCAAGGAAGCAAAATGCGTGTGCTTAGATAATATTTCTAACATTTGATCAATAAAAGGCAGAGGGTAACAATCTTTTCTAGTTGCTTTGTTTAATTTCCTATAATCAATTACCATTCTATAGCCTGTGACAATTCTTTGTGGAATAAGCTCATTCTTATCATTAGGAACAACAGTAATACCTCCCTTCTCAGGGACACAATGAACATGACTTATCCATCTACTATCAGCTATAGGATAGATTATACCTGCTTCTAGAAGTTTCAATATTTTCGTTCTTACCACTTCTTTCATCTTTGGATTTAACCGACGATGATGATCAACAACGGGTTTAGCACCAGGTTCCATATTAATCATATGCTGACATAGAGTGGGACTAATGCCCTTAAGATCGTCAAGAGTATATCTGATAGCAGCTCAGTGCTTCCTTAGAACTTTCAATAATCTTTCTTCTTCATGTTCTGAAAGGTTAGCACTAATAATAACATGATATATCCTTTTCTCATCAAGATAAGCATAGTGTCTGGCAATTGTTTTAGTTCAAACACAGGATCACCTTTAGGTGGAGGAGGACTTCCTAGAGTTTCAATAGGCAAATTGTGTTTAAGCAGAGGTTGTTGTTCGAAAAAGATTCTATATATTTAATTTATTTCACGCATATGCAAATCATTTTCATGGTCTAGCAAATATTGTTTTAAAGGATCAGTAGGAGGTACAACAATAGAAGTAAGACCAATAATTTCACCTTACTAGGCAAATCTTTCTTATGAGGCTGTCTACTAAACTTGGAAAAAATTAAATTCATGAGATTCATCACCAAAGCTAACACCGGCTGTTTGTTTCTTACAATCTATTCTGGCATTGACGGTGTTCAAGAAAGGTCTACCAACGATAATGGGACAAAATTTATCTTGTGGGGAGCCAAGAACAAAAAAATCGATAGGGTATTTTATTTTCACATACAAGACTTCAACATCTCTAAGAATCCCAATTGGTGATATAGTATCTCTATTAGAAAGTTTAATAGTAACATCTATGTCTTCTATTTCAGCAGGTGATATTTCATTCTTAATTTCTTCATATAAGCAAAATGTAATAGCACTCACACTAGCACCTAGGTCACATAACCCATGATAATAGTGATCTCCTATCTTAACTGAGACAACAGGCATGCCAACAACTGGTCTATGTTTATCCTTTTTATCGGGTTTGGCAACTCTAGAAGCTTCATCACAGAAGTAAATAACATGCCCATCAATATTATCGACTAAGAGATCTTTAATCATAGCAACACAAGGTTCAACTCTGATTTGTTCTACTGGTTTGGGTGTTCTAACATAACTTTTGTTAACCATAGTTGAAGTTTTAGCATGTTCCTTCATCCTAACAGGGAAAGGTGGTTTTTTCAATATAAGCAGTGGGAACAACTGGATCAACATTGTAAATGATCACTACAAGAAATATGTCAACTTGTGACCCTCACTATTGGTCGCTGAAAGGTCATAGTTTTTCATTTGCGACCTTTTTGTGACCAAAAACAGAAGGTCAAAAGCTGGCTGTCGTAAACTGAAATTAGTGACCTTCTTTGTGATATGTAAAAGGTCGTTGGTTCCACGACCAAATTTTTGGTCACTAGCAACCTCCCCAGGCCATGTAGGCATCCAGGATGGCAAGCTGATGTGGCACAAGAATCAGCCCGGTCCGATTCGGTGTTTTACATGGGCCGAGCCCTACAATTCGGCCTTTTTAATGTATTTTTTCCTGTTATTTTTTGCTAGCTACATGGGCCTAGCCCAGCAATTCGGCATTTTTTTCTTGGCCATTTCCTTTTATAGTACATTTTTTTCACCCTCAACCCTTTTATAGTCCATTTCTATTTTGGGCCTCGGCCTTTTTACATTCCATCTACTTTTGGGGCCTTGGCCTTTTCGTTTGTCACACTGGTCATCTTTCTATTTCTCACACTTTCACAATAAACAAATGAAAAATATTTCAAATGGCAAGAGAACATATGAAACTGTAAAATGATAGCCAATATTAGCACCAAATACGCTAACTACTATACAAATACGAAATTACAGTATTTACAATAGTGTTCATACAACCAGATATGCTGGCTACTGTACAACATAACTAGCACTACAATATTACTCGCTACTCTTTACTTTGTCGGGCTTCAAGCTTCTTCAAATTTCTTCAGCCTAGATCTCCTGTAAAGAGAGGTAACACCACACTTTTAGAGCTAGATCAAGGCACAAAATGCTTATTTGGTTGGGTCATGCTGCAACAATCACATAGAAGCATAATTATAAGCACAAATACACCAATCATCTCAGTTCAAGCAAATCATCTATAGTAGCAAAGCATGAAAAACGAAGCAGCACATGGCAGGAATGTTTACAACAGCTCAGTTGATGACTTCAAATAGGAATAATGTATACAAGTATAATACAAAAATATGAGAAACTATCACAGTACAGAAATGGTATCACGGATATATATAGCTAACTCAATGACAGATTGAAATGTTTTACTCAATGTATGGAACTCAAAGAACTTTTCTGGTTAGTCACCAGCATCGTGCATTTTAACTTCAATAACTGCAGAAATTAGATAGTATATGAAGGCAATATTCTAAAGATATATCTCTCTCAAACATATAGAGTACAACTGAAGCAAATGCATCTGCTCTTGCTGATATATCTCACTAGACATGGTCTTGCTAACTTACTATGTTAACACAGACTAATCCTAGTGAACCAGCTAATTCTAGTTAGTCCACGGACCACACAACGAATGAATGCATCAAGGTTTGAAGACAGTACTACATACATCCTACAACACCGAATCAGCACGGCAAAACCGAAGACCATGCAACCAATGAGCTGCAGTTGCGGCACTGAATTAGGAGCAGAAGAAACCGAGCTTTGCGCCAGATGCAGCTAGCAAGCATAAAGAAAGGGGCGAACATGGAAAGCAAGATACCTTGATCTGGTACAACTTGAGCCATGCTGACCAGCATCCATTACTTTGTCGGGTGCCTAGCATCCTCAGTGATGGGGATGACATTGGTCCTCTTCTTGGCCATGTTGACAAGATCCCTACCACTCCGGTGAGAGAACTCAACGGCATACACCAACCCAGTCTGCAAAGTGACAAGACTTCGTTAAGACAACTCACATTAAGCAGCATTCACTTGAAATACACAAAGGAAATAGCAACGAGATCTCACCGGTCCAACAATGTCAGACGCATGAGACACGGTTGTTCCAAAGGCAGTTCTGAGGTACAACACACGTGTTCCAGGAGCCTGAACCAAGAACCACAAAGTCAGCTACTACAACAATGGTTCCAGTCTGAATTACATCCTTGACAAAACAAAAGGTATTCAAACAATCCAGAATGCAAGCAAAGGCACAAAAAGGACTTACAATCTAGATGTTGTCCACACCACCGAGCACAGCAGCAGCCAGCTTGGATCTGAAGGGGTTCCACGCCCTATACTCAACCTTGGATGCGTCCCCGTTCTGTCCAATTAACAAAACAGCAATAAACATCAGTCTACTGCATGTGTAGAACAGTCACAAACATCAATTCAAATCAGCACCAATAAGTGCATCTCTCAGCCAGGACAGGTGCATCATAAGTTTACAAGGAAAGAACTTATAATGACAACATCTTTGCTTAATCCCCTGGATGGATAGGAATAATGCAACCAAGGCCTAAGTACCTAACTACTAGTATCTACTAACGATAGATACAGATAGCAAGATATATGCATACCGCATACCAGATACATCATATAATGATCAAACTAATGTATAACAATTACATTATTATCTATTTAAGTTTTTATCTGGTACAAACAAACTCCAAAATGCCACAGAGAAGAGAACAGAAACATGCCACATGCGTAACATAACTGCTTTCCCACCTGATAGGCTGATACTGCAACCAGAAGTAGGATTGCCTAGTGGGAGCATGTGTCCGATCTACCCATGTTGTCTAAATTGTTTAATAGGGGTCGTGGATGGAAGATCTGCAATTAGGATGGGGTCGCGCTGATTATAAGCCTAGTGGGGACAACCACTTTGGCACACAAGCTACTAGGCAACTAACTTAGGCAATACAGGCCAGGCAACGCCATCAATTACGCACTCACCAATCTCCAATCGACAATTTTCAGCTAACTGAATCAACATAACGAGGCGCGCCACTGCTACATCAAGATCAGCCCCTATGGCCATTGCTACATATTTCACATGGTATGCAGCTATGCATCGATCTGGCTTCAGTTTACCGGTTCTCACAACAGAAGAAGTCTGGCAAGGGGATTCAATCTGAATCCTTCAAGATAAAATGATCCTGCGTATTTCACTTTAAAAATATGCGTGGAGGAGAACATCCAACATCTGGTTTGACCATGGACCTGGCGGCACGGAGGCATGGAGGGAGACGGCGCGGGAGCCGCCGCTGCGGGCGGCGAAGTGGACCGAGTTGGCGGGGGCGGAGGGCAAGGGGGAGACGGAGAGGTGGGGGCACGCCGTGCCCGGGAGGCGGTCGAGGAGCGGGCGGGCCGTGGGAAGACGACGAACCCGTCCTGCAGCGGGAGGTGGATGACGGTCTCCGAGGTTCGTGTTGTCGCCGTCGTGGTGGCCGGAGACACG